AGTTGGAACCTTCAAAAAGTTGGAACGCCTCCCCAAGAGTTGGAATCCCTACCAAAAAAGTTAGAGTTCTTACCCAAAAAGTTGGAACCTTTACCCAAAAAGTTAGAACCCTACTAAAAAAGTTGGAACCCCTACCGAAAAAGTTAGAACCCCTCCCCCAACAGTTAGAACCTACCCCAAAAAGTTATAATTAACTTCAAAAAATTAAAACGTCAGCCAAAAAGTTGAAACCTCTACCCCAAAAGTTAGAACCTCCAAAAAAGTTGAAACCTCTCCCTCAAGAGTTGGAACCTCTACCCAAAAAGTTGGAACCCCTATCCAAAAAAGTTGAAACCCACCTAAAAAAAATTGGAACCCCTACTAAAAAAGTTGTAACTCAACCGAAAAAGTTGGAACCCTTCCCCCAACGTTAGAACTCACCCAAAAGGTTATAATTCAATTCAAAAAATTGAAACCTCTACCCCCAAGAGTTGGAACTTCCAAAAAAATTGGAACTCACCCAAAAGAGTTGGAGCCCCTACCAAAAAAGTTGAAACCCCTACCGAAAAAGTTGGAACTCCTTCCTCAACAGTTAGAACTCACTCAAAAAAATTATAATTCAATTCAAAAAATTGAAATCTCTGCCAAAAAGTTAAAACCTCCAAAAAATTTGGAACCAGAGAACCTCTACCCAAAAAGTTGGAGAAGAAATCTAGACCCATTTAGTGTTCTTGTCTTCTCTTCAGATGCTTTCTCTTTGGGTGTCCTGTTTCAACATTTGTATTTCTTCACCATTCTTACAGATGTCTTTGGAAGTAGAGGACTGTTCATATCCCTTTATATCCCAGCACTCCACAAAAAATTCCCCCTGCATCCTCCAAGATCTATCCATGTCTCTTGGTCTTCATGCTGGATATTCATCTTCTACCATGCTTCTGGATAAAAGGCTTTTGTTTCTCTTTGTTGTGTCATGAAGCCAACGCCTTAACATGTGCAAGATCATCTCTTCTTTGCTATTTTGCAGGTGCTCAAAGGGAGAAGATCTCTTAGAGGTTGTTTCTCTCATAAAAAATGCAAGAGTCTGTGTTTTGGTCTCTTTTGTTCACGCGTCTGTTCAGTTGCCTTATCTCATAGGTTTCTCAACGTATAAGATTGTTCACCTTCTTCTCTGATAAACAAGCTCTAAGCTCAAACGTTCAACTCTAACTCCCAGTTCAAGCTCAAGCCTCCAGACCAAGCTTCTAGCTAAAGCTCAAGCATCCAGCCCAAACTCCTGCTCTCAGCTCATCAAGCATTCATGACTGTTTTTTAATGCAGCCCTATTATGAGCTGAGTTTTAATGTTAATTTATTGAATTTAATGTTTATTAAGTAAAATTAAATGTTGATTTGAAGAATTGAATGTTAATTTGGTGTAAATTTAATGAATTGAGTATTAATTGGATGAAATTGCATGTTAGTTTAATGTTGATTTGATAAATTGAATATTTATTGAATGATTTTGGATGTTAATTTAATGAATTATAATATCAAAAGGTTAAAAATGTAATATCAAAAGGTTAAAAGTATAATATTAAAGGATAAAAGTGTAATATTAAAGGATTAAAGTATAATATTACACCAGGATCGGTTGCCCATTCCAACGGCCGGTCTTAGTAAATTACACTTACACCCCTAAAGTATAACAATATTTTTATTTTGTTCCTTATATTTCACCTTGAAGAAATATTTTTATTCCACAATACCTAATTAGAAACATCTATTATTTTTTTTGAAGAGAAAATACATAGGGGCAAAGTAAAATAATTTTCCCTTAAATATATAATTATATTAATAATTGGGCTAATAATTGAGACAATTTGAAACTAATCAAATAGTTGAGGGAATAAAATGGAAACTCTTTTGGCTAGGTACACCCCTGAAGTATAACAATATTTTTATTTTGTTTCTTATATTTCACATTCAAGTAATATTTTTATTCCACATTACCCAATTAGAAACGTCTATTATTTTTTTGAAGAAAAAATACATAGAGGCAAAGTAAAATAATTTTCCCTTAAATATATAACTATATTAATAATTGGATTAATAATTGAGACAATTTGAAAGTAATCAAATAGTTGAGGGAATAAAATGGAAAACTCTTTTGGCTAGCTACTTTTTGTGAACAACTGGTTTCACCGGTTTTAAAGACCACGTGTCACCTATACAACTCATCTTATTTTTCGGTACCATACTGAAAAGTAGGTTGGCGGTATAGTAGTATTACCCATGTGCTTTTGGGTTTCTCCAGACTCCAGTTCATTCCCTTAGATCTATCTTTCTGTTATTGTTATTCATTAATTTTTTTCATTCTCAAAGTTTGCAAATAACAATTTTTATGAAAGAAATGTGATGCTCAGTTGTGCAGATGCAAATGAAATTTCCAAAGGGATTCTGGGGTTATCTCTACTACGTCCTCTTCCTTCCTATTTTCGTCCTACTCTTCCTACTGGGTGTTGTCAAATGTGTGCTCTCTCTCTCTCTCTCTATGTGTGTGTGTGTGTGATATGTGGATTTATATGGAACCCTATGCAGGTGCTATATTCAACCCATGGGTATTTCTGGTGATCGCATTTGGGGACACAGGGGTTGTGATAGAGCTATTGCCCCTTCATCTTATTTAGAGTACCTATTGTGTTATAAGGTCAATTTTCCTTTTAATATTTGCCTTCCTCTCCATGTTTGAGTGCATAGATTAAATGGTAATTGAATAATAATTGTGCACACACACATACGCCCATAATTAATATATATTATATATATATACTAGTTATTGCCCATGCCTGAAGGCACAAAATAATAAAAAAATGGTCAACAATAAATATATTTATATTCATAACCAAAATTAAAATTACAAATAAATAGCAAATAAAAGAATTTAAGCACCGGTTGTAGTGGGGGTGAACGGTGGTAGTGGTGGTGGTGGTGGGAGACGGTGATGGTTACAGTGGGTGATGACGACTGTGGTGGCAGTCATGGGTGGCAATGTTGATGTTGGTAGTGGATTTTTGGTGACGATGATGGTTGATAGTAGTGGTTGTGGATGACAGTGACGGTGGTTGGCAGCGATGGTGGTGGGGCGATGATGGTGGTGGGTTGTGGTGGTGGGCAATAGAGGTGGTGGCCGACGGCAGGTAGTTCTGGACAACAGTGTGATGGGTTGTGGTAAATAGCGATGGTGGTGGTGGCGGTAGGTGTGGGTGACAATGGGTAGCGATAATGGTGAGCGATGACAATTGATGGTGGTAAGTTTGATGAAGGTGGATGACAATGACTGGTAGCAATGGTGGGCAATGATGGATGGTGGTGGGTTGTGATAATGGGCGGCGATGGGTGGTGGTGAGTAACAATGGTAGTGGTGGTTGTTGACAGTGGGCAATGGTGATAATGGTAATAAATATAAGAATGAGAAAAAAATTGTGGTGGATGGTGGCAGCAGATGACGGTAATAGCAATCGGTGGTGAGTGATGATGGTGGTGGTGGGATGGTGACAGTAATGGTGGCAGCGGCGACAACGACGGTGGTGGTGTTGGTGATGGTGGTGGTGGTGATGGTTGTTGTGGTAGAGGTGGTGATGGAGTGGCGGTAGCAGCGGTGGTAGTGATGATGGTGGTGAGGCGGTGGGGGTGGTAATGGTGAAGCGGTTTCAAATACTAATTTATTTTTTTAAAAATTCATAAGTAGTTTTAAGTTCTAGAAATACTTTTAAAAAAATCATTACAAACACACCCTTAGAGTCTTATTTTCCCCATTAAATTTGAGATGTTAATATTAGTCGTCGAATTAACTTTAAGGTAAAATTTAAAGAGATCTCAATCACGAAAAGTAAAAGTTATTTTTTTTATCTTTTAAGATTTGAATTGTATTGTACTTTATTATACACTAGTCATTACCAGTGTCTGAAGGTACAGAGTAATAAAAAATGGTGAACAATAAAAATATTTGTATTTATATACAAAATCAAATCACAAACATAGAAAATAGATAAAAAAATTTAAACATCGGTTAATAGTGGGGTGAGCGGTGGTGGGCGACAGTGGTGGTAGTAGGAGACGGTGATAGTTGTGGTGGGTGACAATGATCGTAGTGGCGGCGATGGTGGTGGTGGCGGCAACAGTGGTAGCGGCAACGACGACGGTAGTGGTAGCGGCGACGACGACGGCAGTGGTGATGGTGGTGGTAGAGGTAGTGGTAGGGCGGTTTAAAACATTATTTTTTTTAATATTTATAAAAAATAATTTTTAGAATTACTTTTAAAAAATCACTTCAAACACACTCTTATGGGCCTATTTTCCCTATTAAATTTAGGATGTAAATATTAACCGTTAGATTAACAGTAACGTAAAATTTAAAGTGATCTCCACCGCGAATAGCAAAAATTATTTTGTTTATCTTTTTAGATTTGAATTGTATTATACTTTATTTTATATACTAGTTATTGTCTGTTCTTGAAGGCACAAAATAATAAAAAATAGTAAACAACAAATATATTTATATTTATATCCAAAATTAAATCACAAATATAGAGAATAGATAACGAAATTTAAGCATCATTTTGTAGTAGGGGTGAGACGTGGTGGGCGACAGTGGTGGTGGTAGGAGATGGTGATGGTTGTGGTGGATGTCAATGACCGTGGTGGCGGCGATGATGGTGGTGATGGTGGCGGCGGTGGTGGTAGCGGGACGGTTTCAAATACTATTTTTTTTAAAGTATTTATGAAATATAATTTTTAGAAGTATTTTTAAAAAATCACTCTAAATACATTCTTAGGGCCTTATTTTTCTATTAAATTTATAGTGTTAATATTAGTCGCTAGATTAACTTTAAAGTAGAATTTAAAGCGATATCAACCGTGAATAATAAAAGTAATGTTGTTTATATATATATATATATTACTTCTTGTAAGTGATTCAAAGTTTTGCTAAATGGGTGTTAGAACAAGGAAATTTGGTCCATATATGAAATGCCTCCTTACTAGTTCCGGTTTCGATAGCGTTGTGGACTGTTGTCGGAGTTGTTGGAAGTGCTATTATGGGCATTGGGTATGCCTTTGTTTGGCCTGTCATGGAGACATTCAGGGCGATTGTCAATGAAGGCGTTCCACTTCACCAGAAGTTAATTAATTGCTTAAGGGTAATGTTAGTTCTCATCTACGTCATTGTGGTTTTAACTGGTTATATTTGAGGGCATGAATTGGGAAAGACCTTACTGCACTTGATGGTAAATCTGTAGGATGGAACTTGGAGCTGTGTTTTGGGTGCATGTACTGTTGTACGCGATTTTGCAAATTTTTCATTCCACTCTTACTTCTCTGTTATGGATGGGCTGATGGAGGCCAAGAGGGAGGAGCCTATTGAACTCAAGTATTCATCTCTCTAACCCTGATCCAAATTTTCTAAATCAATTTTTTACTGTTGAATTTATATATGTGAATTCATGTTTTTATATTCTTCCATTCTGGTTGATTTGTACTACTTTACTCAGTTAGATGTATAAGCATCGAGTGTTTTGATGATGACTTCATTGAACAGTTTGTCTTTAACTGATCCGTAAAAGAATAGAAACTGAATATTAGAGACAAAATTTTACGTTCATTAATGCGAGTAAGGAAAGTGACTTTCAGTAAATGCTCTAAAAGCTCATTTGAAATATATCCAAAGAAATTGATTGCTGCATTGTCAAGTCACAAGGATGCATGTTTTCTCCATTGAATGTACAGAAAAGATTCAAAACAACTTGATTATGATGCTAGCAATGAATAAAGAACATTGTTGTTATCTGATTCTCTGGAACTTGTTACCAGGTCATGTGCTGTTGATGTTAAAAAGATAATAAAGAATCATCCATATTTTGAATGTAATTTGTACCTTTCATCTTTACATTTTAATCTAGCATATTATACTGATGTGCCACAGTTCGTTTGTCCAGGTTTGATGTTTCTTTTAAATGTTAAGTAATTGCTGTGAAATTCGTAACTGATGTGCATTAAAGCAATCTCAGAATCTCAGAATTAGATTTTCCATGTGTTTTCTGCAAGATTACACAGATACCAGGATGCATTTTGGCAGGGATTCTGGTTGATGTGCCAGTTTTTACTCTAATTGTTTTTTATAAAGCTCCTATATTACTCTTTAAAGGATGACACCAGTTACTAGACGATCTTGTAGGGAGGAAAGGCCCATTCTTGGAAACTGTTTGTGTTCCCTTTGCTGGACTATGGATTTTACTGTGGCCTATTGTGGTTTTTCTGGCTATTTTGGCTGGAATAGGTTCAAGCTTCCTTTATGGATGTTATGCTGCCGTTGTTACATATCAGGTACAATATGAACTGTTAGATTTTTTTCGCTGGCTACTATTTGACTTTTCTGCTGCCAAAGTAGTAGCTTTTCTTAGGTATTCTGCCTTGATCCCTATGTCCGGCGTGCATGCACGCATTGGTTATTATGCTTACAGGTTTTTCTGTGGTTCTGCATTTAAGGAAAGTTCTACAAAGAAAGGATTATTGTATGTAGTTGCCTCTGCATCTCTGTTTGATGAGTACACCAATGATTTACTGTACCTGCGTGAGGGTTCCTGCTTCCCCAGGTAAGTTGTACAACACATTCAGGTCACTTAAGGATTTCCTTCATGATACATAAAATTTTCCATCACATTATAAAAGAAGTCTTTAGTTGTTTACTTGCTCAATGTGATCATGTATGAACCAATTGTTGTGATCGTGCAGTAATTATGGTGAATAATAAGGAATCAATCAATTAAGAAAGGAAGATAAAATAATACACAGATTTACATGGTTCGACAATGTGCCTACATTCACAGGAGCGAGCAGCCTTTCTTTTTTAATCATTCAAAGTAGGGTTACATCTTAAGTATTTATATAACCCTAGTATGGACGTATTTACAAAATACCCCTGTACCGTACCGCGGGGCATTGCCCCTGCACCCCCAACTAATCAGCATCCCCCCATATATAAAATATATCAATCTTGCTCCAACATCTGCCTCTTTGCCATTGTGCACACAACAATATATGAACCACACATACTCTAACAATCTCCACCTTGGCAAATATTCAGTCCTTAGGAGAAAAAGAAAACATGTATCCGAGAACTCTACCTGGGACGCTAAGTTAGGGCATCTTCCATCTAGTAACTGGAGACATTAATCAAGTCCAAGCAGTGCTTGAACTTGTCTATAGTAACAGACTTTGTCAACATGTCTGCTGCATTCTCAAAGTGTGAACTTTCTCAAGTAATAGTTCATCAGAAGAAACCAGCTCCCTGATCTTATGAAACCTCACATCTATGTGCTTGGTCCTCGCATGATACACCTGGTTCTTTGCCAAATAAATGGCACTCTGACTGTCACAATGTAACTGAACTCCACCTTGCTAGGCACCCAGCTCCCTGACCAAACTTGTAAGCCACAAAGCCTCCTTGGCAGCCTCAGCTACTGCCATACACTCTGACTCAGTAGTAGATAGTGCAACTATAGGCTGTACCATGAACTTCCAACAAATAGGTCCTCCCACAAGAGTAAACACATAACCTGTGGTAGACTTTCTGTCATCCAAGTCCCCTGCATAGTCTGCGTCCACATATCCCACAACTGAAGGGTTACTCTGTTGTCTGCTAAACATGATGTCATAATCTGTAGTGCCCCTCAAGTATCTGAAAATCCATTTGACTGCATCCCAATGCTATCGACCCGAATTTGAAAGAAACTTGCTAACCATGCTGACAGCTTGTGCCAAATTTGGTCTTGTACAAACCATAGCATACATCAAACACCCCACTGCACTAGCATATGAGACCTTTGACATGTCATGAATTTCACCATCTGTCTTCGGGCACTAATCGGTAGACAATTTGAAATGATTTGCCAAAGGTGTACTTATTGATTTTGCATAACTCATGTTGAACCTGTCAAACACCTTCTCAACATAGCTATGTTGAGATAGCCATAATCTCCTGAAAGCTCTGTCCTTGCGAATCTCCATCCCAAGAATCTTCTTGGCCGCACCCAAATCCTTCATGTCAAATTCTCTGCTCAACAAAGTCTTCAACTTGTTGACCTCACTCATACTCTTGGCAGCAATTAACATATCATCCACATAAAGTAACAGAAAAATAAATGAATCATCATCAAGGCTTTTCACATAGACACAACAATCATACTCACACCTTTTGTAGTCAATCCGGATCATATAAGAGTCAAATCGCTTGTACCACTGCCTTGGAGACTGCTTCAACCCAAAAAATGATTTCTTCAAATTACAGACCAAATGTTCCTCTCCAGGGAGACTGAACCCTTCTGGTTGTACCATGTAAATCTGTTCCTCCAAGTCGCCATGAAGGAAAGCTGTCTTTATATCCATCTGCTCCAATTGCATATTTGAATGTGCTACTAATGCCAACACTGTCCTGATGGAAGTATATCTGACCACAGGGGAGAAGATCTTATCATAGTCAACCCCTTTTCTCTGTGAGTAACCCTTTGTTACTAGATGAGTCTTGAATTTTTTTCCCTCCTTTTCTGATACAACTTCTTTCTTCTTATACACCCATTTTCACCCTATCGTTTTCTTTCCCTCGGGAAGCTCCACCAACTCCCATGTCTGGTTCTTATGCAAAGACTCCATCTCTTCCACCATACCACTCATCCATCTACTTTTCTCTTGGCTTTGTACTGCCTCCTAAAAAGTTGTAGGATCCCTACTACTAGTAATAAGCACATAAAAAACCAAATCTTCAAAATCATACCTGGTAGGCGGCTTGATATTGTGTTTGGGCCTGTCTGTGGCTATACTGTGATGCTGTTGATCACCTGAGATAAAACTCTCTAATGCTGAGCATCCTCTTCTCTGCCATGATTCTTTAGCTCCACCTGCACCACATGCTCATTAGTGCTACAGTTTTTTGGCACTTGTATCTCTTCTTCTTGAGTACGCTGCAACATAGCTTTTTCATCAAAAACCACATCTCTACTGACCATCATCTTGTTTGCCTTCGGATTCCAAAGCTTGAAGCCTTTCACCCCTTTCTGATATCCCAGAAAAATACACTGTCTGGAATTCGCATCAAGCTTCGACCTCTCCTCACTAGAAACATGTACATAGGTTGGACATCCAAACACTTTCGAACCAGAGTAGTCTAACTCACTGCCTGTCCACACCTCCTCTGATACTTTTCCATCTAGTGCTGCCCTTGGTGATCTGTTAATCAAGAAACATGTCATATTCACTGCCTCTGCCCAAAAATTCTTTGCAAGCCCTGCATTCAACTTGAGACACCGAGTTTTCTCAGCTATCGTTCTGTTCATCCTTGCCGCTACACCATTTTGTTGTGGTGTCTTGCGGACTGTGAAGTTTCTCTTGATCCCATACTGCTCACACAACTCCTAGAACTTTGAATCTGTGTACTCAGTACCATTATCTGACCTGAGGCATTTAATTTTCCTCCCTGTCTGGTTCTCTACTTCAGCTTTTCACAGCTTGAACTTGGCAAACGCTTCGGACTTGTGCCGCATGAAGTACACCCAGACCTTTCGCGAGTAGTCATCAATGAAACTCACAAAATACATGTATCCTCCCTGTGATACTACGCTGACTGGTGCCCAAACATCTGTATGGACATAGTCGAGAATCCCCTCTGTCTTGTGTGTGGTTGTCTTGAACTGCACCCTGTTCTGTTTTCCAAGAACATAATATTTGCAAAAATTGAGCTTGCATGTCTTGACACCCTTCAATAGATTTTTCTTATGAAGCTCTATCATCCCACACTCACTCATATGACCCAGCCGCATATGCCACAAGATTGTACTATTTGATTCAGACTCTATAGCAGCAACTCCACCTACAATCGTGGTACCTAACAGTCTATAAATATTTCTTGCTACTTTCTGTCCCTTCATCACTGTCAACATGCCTTTACTCACTTTCATTACTCCACTTATAGATTTGTAACTATAACCATTACAATCTAAAGTGCCCAATGAAATTAGATTTTTCCTTAGATCCGGTACATGGCTAACATCACACAACATTCTAACCACACCATCAAACATCTTAATTCTAATATTCCCTATTCCAACAACTTTGTAGGATGCATTGTTACCCATCATAACAGAACCAGAATTTACTGACCTGTAAGTGTCAAACCAATCTTTGTTGGGTGTCATGTGATAGGAACATGCTGAATCCATAATCCAGGAATCTGTTAGACGATCTGAATTGGATGAAACAAAAAGCATGTCACCGTCACCGCTCTCTGAATCTTCTTCTTCGACTATGTTTGCAGACTTTGATGGATCCTCTTTGTCCTCTGAATTCCCTTTTTTTTTTGCTCTGGACAGTCCCGTTTAAAGTGCCCCTTTTCCCGCACTTGTAACACGAGACGAAGACGTCCTTCTTTTTCCTCGACTTGGACCGGGCTTTATTGTTATCCGATCCATTTCGAGATTTGCTTCTTCCACGTTCCTGGTTACCTTTCACCACAAGCCCTTCACCTTGTGAAGCCTCATCACTAGCTTTCTTCCACTGATGAAAACCTGATAGAGCACCTGTGACATCCTCCAACTCGAGGGTTTATTTCCCTCACATCAGAGTCGTAACCAGATTCTCGTATGTAGGAGACATCAGTAGGGAATTCAGCAACATCAACGTCTTGTCTTCGTCTTCGAACTTCACATCAACTCGTTTCAGATCGCTGATGATCTGATTGAACACGTTGATGTGTTGGCTCGGATCTGAGCCCTCTGACATCTTAAGACCATATAGTTTCTGCTTAAGATAGAGCTTGTTTGTCAACGACTTGGACATATACCAACTTTCCAGTTTCAACCAAACTTTCGCCGGTGATTCCTCATCCATGACGTGATACATCATGTCATCATCCAGACAAAGTCTAATAGTCGTCATAGCCTTCGCTTCTAATTTTTTCCAATCCATGTCGTCCATTCCTGCCGGTTGTTTTTTGTATAACGCCTTTACCATGCTCTGTCGCACTAACAGGTCCTTCACCTTCCTCTGCCATAATCCGAAATTCCCAGTTCCGTCGAACTTCATCATGTTGAATTTTGCAGAAGAAATCCCAGACATCGTAGCCTGACTCTGATACCAGTTGTTGTGATCATGCAGCAATTATGGTGAATAATAAGGAATCAATCAATTAAGAAAGGAAGAGAAAATAACACACAGATTTACGTAGTTCGGCAATGTGCCTACATCCACAGGAGCGAGCGGCCTTTCTTTTTTAATCATTCAAAGTAGGGTTACATCTTAAGTATTTATATAACCCTAGTACGGACGTATTTACAAAATACCCCTGTATCGTACCGCGGGGGCATTGCCCCCGCACCCCCAACTAATCAGCGTCCCCCCATACATAAAATATATCAATCCTACTCCAATATCTGCCTCCTTACCATTGTGCATACAACAATATATGAGCCACACATATCTCTAACAATCTCAATCATGCATATTAGCCCATTCATGTGCGCTGATATCTTGTGGTTTAAAAATGAGCTGTGCATCATTGAATTGTGTGATAACCTCTGATTATGTGGGCAGCCAGACCAAGATACCGTGGGCAGGTTGATTCCAATTCATTGCTTCCTGTAGTGGGACTGTATAACCATATGGAGATTGTTAGTGGTGACAAACCTTTGATAAGCACACCTTCTGCAAAAATGAAGTCTCTGATAACTGTAGTGGTAAGATTGAATTAATCTGAGCTTCCCCTGTCAAATCCTGTTTGAAAAAATGTAACATTTTACAAGCAGATATTATATGTTGGCTGGATTTTATTGTTTATTGTTTGTTGTCAAGGTAAGTGTTGGCATATATTTGAAGATTTCCTATGTTTTTTTAAGCAGATATTATGTTGTTTTTTTTTTAAGTGTTTCAGAGTTGAAGTTGATATGAGATTTTAATCATGGTGCTTGGGCAAAAATAGGGAACAATATCAACAAAAAAATATATGATGCGAACCAAATATTAGCACTACTCTTTATCTGGTGGTGTTGGTCATTCTGTTCAGACTTCTATACTTATCTGTTTTATTTTGTTATGATTGTTCTCCAAACCTAAACATGCTTGATTTCCTTCCTCCTCGGTCTACTCTAGGAAAGAGAAGTACTCTTATTGTAAAGCTTTGTTTCTGATTATACTATTTCATTAAGCCTCTTCATTTTTGAGACTTCCTCTTTTCTTCCACACTTTCATTCAGCGAGTTTATTGTAAACCAAGCTCTCTTGTCACAGAGTGATGTGGTGGTCAATCTCCCATTCTATGTTGTTGTGCGATTTCTGACCATGAATGTGTTATCAAGGAAGATTTAAACAATAAAACGAGCTGTAGAGGCTATAATTTCGACAATGACAGGCTTATCTAAACTCATTGATTTGGGTATTTTTAGCACCATCTCTGTGCAAAAACAGGCATATAGTCCTTGGTAGCACAGAGTGATTTTACCAGCTTAATAAGCCAGCATTCTAGAAGGCTTCTGCTGTTTCAAGTACTTCATATAAATGTTGACTATTGGTTCTCATGCTTGTGTAGATATGGGATGCTTTTTTCAAAACATGTGAGGATATTGGCAAAGAGCTTCTTAATGCTGGTGCCATCAGATTTGCAGATATTGATGCATGGAAACAGTCGAAGAATAAGATAAATTAACATTGGAATTGCTGCTTGTGCATTTCTTGAGTGCTTTCTTTGCTCTAACAAGAGTGGTTCCCCTGGATTCATCCTGTGTAAGTATAGTTTAATGATTCCAAGATTGTATTTAGTTGTGTTTTTTTTTTTTGCACTACATGGACATTGGTGGTACTGATAAGTCCCATAGTTGGCTGAAAAACATTGGGACTCGTGATGACCAAGACAGATTCATATGACCATGATAAATGATTGTTCTGATTCTATAGTCTATTTTGTTTGCGTCTTTATTCCTTTCTTCAACTTTACAATGTTTCAAACACTGCACCCAAGAAGTAATTTGGTCAAAGCAATTTATCTGTTTTGTATATTTGTTTTATGTTTTACTGATCCAAGCAGTTTTTTACCATGTATTGAAGTTTAGTTAATGAGATTAAGTCATCGCTTCAGATGGGGCTTGCATCCTGTAATTGTGCATATTAACTGGCAATCATATCATCTAGTTTCTAATTTCTGTGGATTATGGTGATTATGTTGGCATAGCAAGCGAGGAAACTATATCGAAACAATTATTTTTTTTCCATGCTAGGTGATAATATTGAAATTACCAGTGTTAATAGACCAGAGGGAAGAGCTTTTGAATGGCTTTATGACCCCATGTGTATCATGAAGGAGCAAATTAGGAGTCTGGATTTACAGGAAACTGAAGAGTTGTATTTCCATGAGCTCTGTCTGTACAGTGGTGATACAAGAAGAATTGAATCTTGGCAGAACGGTAGCATTCCTCCTCAAGATGAGATTAGAAGAGCTCAGTTAGAGGGAATGAGTAGAAGGTACTTAGAATTCATTTTTGTACCTTGTTTGTAGTCACTTGCTTTGTGCTCATTTTCTTAGGGCAAAATACTCCGTACATCATTACTAGTTATATCATTGTGGATTATGCTGCAGTCCATATTTCCAGAATCACTTAATGGCTGTTCGCTGTTGTCTTTGAATGGCTCAGCTCGTTCTTTGAGCCCTCCTCCTCATTTCCCTGTCTCCCCAATCTACCCTCCAAAACAGATCTTTCTGCCTCACACAGTTTCATAATGTGACTAGGTTACAGGGCTTTTGTTTGATGCTCTCAAGGCTGCCAACATCCCGACGAAGGTTCTATGAAGTAGTAAAAGTTATGGAGCATCTAGCAAAGAATAGTGAAGAGCCAGGGGTGGAACTGATAGTATAGAAGCATTCCTCTAGGTTCTCTCTTTCCCTCTCGCTAGATGCTGCTGCTGTGTTGGGTTGATTTTTGCTTCGTTTGACAGCAAAAATGTGGCGTTCTAATTGTATGTTTTAGCTTACTTCTTTTAGTTGCCAATTATTTTCTTTGGCTGTATTCACCCCTGTGGATTTTATAAATAATAGTGTAGCAAGAATTTTTATTTTTTTTGTTTGGGTTCTGAATTTTGTCTTTAATTTTGTGGATGAGTCCTGTTGTAAGGCTCCAGTTACTTTTCTATTCATTTTTGATAATGATGGTGTGTTATTATAATTTTTAGTTTTGTTTGACAATATCCTTCATAATCCTGCATGTTTTAATCTCTTCTTCCTTCCATTCTGTCACCTTTCCTTGAGTTAGAGTTTGCCATGAAATTATTCTGAAAAAGCTTGAGAACAAATATTGATTGGTTATAGGCTGGTTGATAGTCAAATTAGTTTGAGTTGAGTTTAAAATGCTTATTTTCTTAACCGAACCTACGATTGTTTAAGTTCAGCTTGTTTAGAAAATAAGTCAAGTCCAAAATGAATCGAATTTGAGTTGAACTCGAATATTTGTACTTAAATAAGTCAAGCCTGTCTAGACGGTTCCACTACAACTAGGAGGAACAAACCCAAATTAACCATGGGTCTAGATTGTTCTACTATGTTTTTTTTTTCCCCCATCTTTGAATCATGAGGTTCCATTTACTATTAGCAGTGCCTTAAATTAGAGAAAATATTCATTATAACAATAATATCAAGCTATGGGTGACACTAGGCATCACTAACTAATAAAAATACCTCATTTAAGATAAGTGAATCTCACTGTTTTAATAATTTCTAATAATTTACTGATTAACTAACACCTTGAAATAATGGAGTTTACTATTCTTTTTTTTGATTCAACGGTCAGGGTATTTAGACTAATTTACGCGTACCTCGACAAATTTTCTCCTTGGTCAGTGTCAAAGACACGTCATCTAACTACAATATTCATGAGAGATAAATTTCTTATGACCTGACCCTTAGAAATTGAGAAGAATTAAACTCAGACGTCTGAATTTTACAATTCATCTCTTTTACTACTTTAGTTACCTTTGGGGTTGGGGTTTATTATTCTAAGGTTGGTGTGATATGATGTATGCTTATTAGTTGGTGATACTATGAGTATGTTTGGATTGCAAGTAAAAGGGGATAACTCTAGTAGGATAAGATAAAAAAGTGTGTGAGACTCATATATCCCACGTTTGCTAAGTAAAAAATATATTAGAAATTCTATTAGGATTTTATCATATTCCGGTTTGAAAAGTCAATTTTAAACCATCTACGTTAAATGAAACCTAAGGGGGGCTGAAATTTTTTTTGCCAGGCAAGATAATTAATACAAATGACCGAATTGTCTTGTTATCTCCTCTCTCACGTCTACTTCATCTCCTCCTAGTTTTGCACAAATTTGTTTTTTTTTTCAATAAATTTGTTTGTCAAAATTAAGTTCTGTCAACATACATCAAGAAGACCAAGACGTCTTCTCTAACAAGACAACTAATTTAAATAATAAACTAACTCTAATAAAAAATATTTTTTAAAAAAATACATATAAGAAAATTTTGTTATATGTATTTGTTTTGAATACATATAAGAAAAACAATACTTTTTAAAAATACATATAAGAAAATTTTGTTTTGAATTGTTCAAAGGTTAATTTATAAACTGAACATTGTATTGGACTGGATATGTTAGAAGCAAAATAGTCAATGGTATCATATCTTATCACCCGTCCCCATAAATCCTATAAAAGTGCTTATGTTATGAAAATATTAGAAATAATATAATGTAGCTATTAAATCTTAACCCGTCTAATAATAAGTGGATTTTTAAGATCTTCGATCTAATTCAACCCAACCATCTAAAAAGACTCTATTTGTCACAGTTTTAATGAAAGAGCGCTATGACCCGGATTCGGATCCGGATTTCGGGCACCGGGTTCCTTAAACCCTACTCCACCACTACCGACCAGAATTCAAAATATATCAAAATTTCGCGGAAAACATCAAAGGCGGTGGCCGTTTTCTTTCAGCTTCAACTTCTCTCTCTCTCTCTCTCACACACACACACTCGGTCTTTCTCTTTCTCCCAAACCCACCCACCAGCGTACCAATAAAGTCAATCAATTTCAAATGCAATCCACCATATATGTTGCTTCCAATTCCCTTCCTCATCCTCACTTACCATGGAAACCTCAGAAACCCCGCATTCTCACACCCCAAACACTTAAACCCTCTCTTAAACCATTAACTCTCTCGAACTCGTTAAAACCATTATTCGGCTTCGAATTCGAAGAAGAAAAACTCGACAAACAAGACCAACCAACTTTTCCTCTTCGTCTTCCTGTCGTAGTTCGCAATTCTGGTAGTGTTTCTCGCTACTTATGGGACGGAGATGACTTGAAATTGGTTTCTGTTGACGGAAGTGCAAGGATTTCGTTGTCGCCGTTTTCTTTAGATTTCGAAGATGGGTTTCGGAAGTTGGCTAGCGGGTGTGTTTCGGGTATAAGGAATTTTTTTCTTCCGAGGGAAGTGAGTGAGAATTATTTAGAGTATGTGAAGTGGAAGTTTTTGCAAAGAGTGTTCAGTTCTGCACTGCAAGTTCTCGCAACCCAGGTAAATTGTTTTTCTTTTCAGTGATTCAATTTCAAAGGTATGTACTTCCATATTTTGAGTCCTATAGATTCTTGTGGAAATTGAGTTACTCATTGTCTCACTAATATGAACAGGGGAGATCAGGGGGAATTTTTTTTTTCCCATTGGAGGGTTGATTTTCTTATTTTTGTTAAGGCTATTGTTTGTTCTTTCTTCTTTGAACTATCATCTACTTGGGAAATTAGTTTATGCCATCACTTATTTGAGTGTGAATGGGTTATTATTAGGCAATGTTTCGGGCAATTGGAATTGGAAACTCGCATTCACTTGCATCAGCTGCTGCCCTGAATTGGGTTTTGAAGGACGGGCTTGGACATCTTAGTAGGTGCATATATACTGCTAGCCTAGCGTCTGCTTTTGATACCAGTTTGAAGGTATAATTACTTCCTCACCAAAATGTGAGTGTTACATTATGCAATCACTATTATTTAGTGGTACAAAATTCATAATATTGAATAGTACTTCTTTGCAATTATCGCTTATCAATCTTCATTTCTGTATTTGGAAAATTTTTGTGGTACATATTAGATGAAGTATTGGAAGATTCCTTGATTTCTAAATTGTGGGGAAAAAATTGCAAATCAAGTATTTTATAGTCTGAACCTAGAATGTGGTACTCTGAGTTTGATTAAATAATTAATGTGTAATTGTCTCCCTTGAAGAGAGTTAGGTTCTCAGCATCGGTTCTATTCAGTTTGAGCATTGGAGTTGAGTTGCTGACTCCTGCATTTCCCCAATATTTTTTGCTTCTCGCATCTGTAGCCAACATTGCAAAGCAGATAAGCCTCGCGTGCTACCTGTCAACTGGTGTAAGTTTCAGGCCTCACCAATCTGTTAGCTTTTTTCTGGTTTTTTCCTGTAACATATGCTCATTTACATTTGAATTCTTTTCTGAAGATTGATATCAACATTAGACCCAATCTGGAACATTAACTAATAATCATTTTCTAATGATTGATTTCCTTTAAAATTTTATTTTTCATGACAGTTGTTTATTGATATGTTTGAATGTGATGCTTCTCACTAAGTTTAATGCAAATCTTTTTCCTCCTTATTGATGGCAAATGAATCAATTGTAAAATGTTGTGTACAATTTGAGAGAAGCAGTCATGTAAAGCTCTGCTCGTAGCATAGGGATCACTGCCTTTTCTTAACTAAAAGCCCATGTGTGCTAGATCATCCTGAAGTTCCAACCAATGATCCTACCAGATGTAAACTGTGTTTCGAAATAGGCTTATTAAAAGCCCCTGTACACTGGAGAATCATAAAGCATCATCGGTTTGCTTTTACCAAAAAAAAAAAAATGAGTTTCAAACAAAATTTGGACAAACATGGATACATCATAGTGTGTAGTGACCCCATATTGCAGCAATCAGATTTACATGCTTTATGGGTTTTTTGTGCACTTCTTGATTTGAATGGTTTTATCTGCCATTCCTACCTGATGAATTCTCATTGTCCAAGGCCTGAGGTTGAGATGAATTTTCTTCTTTGCTGGTAATTCAGAAAAGGGTTCATTCTCACACGTGTTATGCTGTACTAACAGACTTCTGTTGACCGAAGCTTTGCAATAGCAGGCAACCTCGGTGAAGTTTCTGCCAAGGCTCAGGTTGATTATAATTTTTCTGTGGATTAGTTCTTTTGTCATGCTTTATATTTTTTTTACGTGGTGCACAACTACACATAATTTTATTTTTTTTGGGTTTCAGATTCAAACAGCGTGCTTCGATAACCTTGGGCTTATGCTTGCTGCACTGTTGGATATTTTGTTCAAAAACAATCAAAGGTTCTTGCTTGCTTCCCAAGTTCAGATTTTAAATTACTGAATCATGCTAGTTTTACTCTCAAGTTGATATTCGATGATCTTTCTTCCCATGTGCTGCTGTTGAGACGGCAGTAGACTTATTTTTTCCGCAGTTTGACATTAGTAGGTTTCCCCTTCTCCCTTTCTTGACTATGTTTTTGATTTGAAAAATGTCCATGTGTTAACTGAATGCTAAAACAATGTTTATATTGTCACTTGTCTGCCCTGTAAATATTTGATCAGAAAGTAGTAAACAATTAGTATATTGATAAAATACACTGACTGAAACTTCTTGATGATATGCTAGATTGCAAGCAGGTTTACCGTTTGTCATATATCCAATCTTCTCAGCAATTGGCCTTTTTGGAAATTATCAGGGACTAAAGCACATCCATCTGCAAACCTTAACTAAGGTGGGTTTTTTTATTTCTTTCATTGCCACATACAGTTTGTGGACATTATCTTTTCACCTCTGGAACGTCACAAAACAACCAAAGTTCATCGACGTTATATGCGTTATTTGAGAACTCAAAATGACACAGTTGCTTATTTGTGGCAGCCATTTTATGCTCTGAAGGTACAGAACTTGGTTCTTCTGATTTATGTGCCTCCACTGATACATGTAGCTCATCTTAGACCTTTACGTTTGCTAATCATGTGTCCCTTGCATAAGTTGTAGCTTGCAAGCATATATGGACAAAAATGCTATAACAAGAGTCATACAATATGCTTTTGTCTTTTATTTTTTGTAGGCTTTATCTTCCCCGGCCCTGGGGCTGGGGGGTGTACAATGCTAGATCACTTCCTTATGCTTTTGCTTTGTAGTTTTAATTTTTCTATTTGCTCTTTCATTGTACTGAATTATTACTCTTTTAACAGTGGTGTGTTCTACTACTACTCTTTGCTTCAAAAAATCAAGAAGAAAATCAATCAAATGCTAATAATGATTTGCAGCTTACCACCTCAATTTTCAATTTTGATGTTCAGGATAGGCTTGAGATTATAGTGAACACATGGATTCAATTGGGATATGTCCCTTCACCTGCAGAAGTGAGTAAAGAGGAAGGTATTGACTTCTTGTGGAGTAAAGGTGAGGCATAACCCCTGCATTTTGCTGGAGTTTGCTTTAGGTTGTGATTTTGGCTGATTTCAAAACACAATCATTTATTGAGATTTGGATTAGGCGGGGAACTATGGCCTATCAGAATTGGTTGCCTAAATCCCAGGGGTCAAACTGCAAGGCTGTCGATGATGACAATGCAATCTCTGAGTGATGAGGATTTCTACTTCATATGCATCGAGAACTTCTGCCAAGGATTGACTAGAAGTGGACAAGTGAGTATATCAAAGAAGTTTCATCTTGATTGTTGCATTGGTTTCTTGGCACTGAATTTATTCTTATAATGCTGTTCTAATTGAAAAGTTGCAGCAAGGTATTCTTCTCTGTATGCGGGAAGGGGCAGGGACTTCAGATGTCATCATGGGTCTGTTGCAGGTAAACGAATTCCTTCCTCACCCCCACAAAAAAACCTTCCCACCATGGCGGATATAACACTGATAAACACCTTACACCCATGCACCTTTATTTAAACATCACAATGACATAAGTAGCCCATCTCCCTCCTTGGATGAAAGAGATTCTTTTCACTACATTTACTTACAATTTCACTTAAAGGTTGATAACCCACCCACCATATAGGGTTGGGAGACCCGCTACTAATCAGTGGGTCATGCATGAGTTAATGGTAGGTGATTTGCTTTTGAGCAAAATCGAAAAAAGATGTATTGAAGGTGATTTGAATATCCTTTGATGCAAGTTTTATGATGGTTCTCAATGTGATACCTTGTATTTGTGTTATGTAGGTGTGTTATGTCCGTAAAGGGCTCCTATATAACAGGAGGGACAATATTTTAGAAGCTTGTGACAACCCAGATTTTGTTTTCAGAGACTGGTTTAAATTGATTGAAGATAGCAAGCGGTCTGCAAGAAATGATTTTAACCTGATAAATGAACAGATGTTAGGATTGGGATGGGCTTGTAAACATATTCTATTGAACACACAGGAGCAGGCTAGGTATAGTTTTGTGGATGACTGAGGATGTGCAAGTGTTTTTTTCTAGGCTTTGGTTTGTCATTCAAAACACACAGGAAAAGGAAAGACTGAAAGGTAAAAAAGGAATCAATTTATGAAAAATTTTGTTTTTCCTTTATTTTGCTTCCATTTATTGTTTTCCTTTTACGTTCACTAATTCAATGAATATTTTAATTTTAAAAATCCCTGATGATATAATGAATAACTTGTTTGCAAGGTTATACTTAATTTAAGGAGCCATTGCTCTAAATTTATTTTTTTTTGGTGTATTAGATGTTTGATTACTGTAATAAATAAATAGAGTTTCATTCACATGAACTCTCCCATGTTACCTATGTAGCCATCTGTCGTACTTCTCATGACCTCTTTTTCTTTCAAGTTTTCAAAACCAGTGATTAGAGGCATTGGGGGTACAAACACCCACATCCTATTCTCGAACTTCAAGTAGGTAGGATTGTCACGCAACAAATTGAGTTCTCTAATTTGATATCTGCTTTATGTTATGCTTCTTTACACCGATGAGACAAGCAATGATCAATCAAAATAATGTCTTCCCTAGCTAAAAAGAGCGGACTCGAGGGCTCTTGGTATTGAAGAGAATGAACACACTCTTGATTACAAGGCATGCAGCTACTTTTTGTAAACTCCCATATCTAAAGGGCTGTGGCATGGAATGGATGAGAAAATATTGGGTATAACGGTAACACCATGTCATTATTAATACGTAATATTATCATCTACTAATAAACCTGCAAATTAACAAGGTAAATCCCATTTGGAATGATATGCCATGTTGGTTACTTAAATATGTGAAATTTTTCTGTTTATTTGTTATATTTTTATTGGATAATAATATTATATGACAATGATGACGTGACGTCATTGTTACGCCCAATATTTTTTCCGGATGGGGGTGACGGCCACAATGAGATGCAAATCATGTAATCCACTGCTAGTATAAGTTATAACATACACCAATCTTAGCGGATTTAGATCCCCTCCATTATCTCTTTCCTTCAATTCTCCTCAATACAGTCCTAGATGAGTGACACATATAAAATTTTAAATTTCAATGGATAAGATTTTTTGCTCGTGAAAAAACTCCTTAATAATGATTAACTCTCCACCAACAATATAAATGAATGAAAAAACATTTAATCCATTAAAATTCAAAATATTACACATTTCACTCATCTAACAATGTATTGAAAAAAATTAAAGGGAAGGAGTAATGGAGGCAAATCGAATCCAATCTTAGCAGTTGCATTAGGAGATGGACTACTGCTATCCAAAATAAGAATGTGCATACAGAGATGTCCCAATCAGACAACAAATTTGCCAGCCTCGGAAACAAACAGAGGCAAAAGAAAAACAAATGCAATACATATCATCAGTGCCTTCACTTCAACAAAGATTTCTACTGCACATCTGTAATTTCACATAAAGAAGAATACTTTCGACTAAATCAGATTCATTTTCATAATATATCGCAATTAGTGCTGCTATATCAAATCCCCAGGATCGCAGTTGCACAAACATGTTACAAATAGCACTGCTGATAAGATGCCATTGCTTGGCAGGTTGATAGGACACAAACACGAGGTATTGCAAAAGTAACGTGTGCGGATATGTGCTAGCAACGTAAGTAGGTAAAAGCACCACATAGGAATGATACCTCAGCTTCTTGTAATCTGGCTGCTGCGATTACTTGTGGAAGGTAGGAAAACAAACCAAGACTAATGCTGATCATTAAACAACTTTCATCTTCCTCATTTACAAGACCTTTTTATGTACAGTGCAAATGATGATGGTTAAACAGGGGCCGACCCCAGCTAAATCCTTTTGCTGATTTAACTTTTCAGGGAGAGAATGAACTGGCCTCGGTGCTATATAATGAGTACTCACTCATGCTGAAGTTGGGTCTCTCTTCGTCCCACTTCAGAATCTCCCTCGCATATTTAAACGTGTCATCAACACTCTTGGGCTCCAAACCCTTCACCAGTGAAACAAACAGCTTTTGCCCAGTGAGAGCCGAGTAGAGCCTCTTGAATTTAACAGCAATATAATGGAAAGCCACCTGACCCAGGGAGGGGCTACTGTTGATGTTGTTGCTGTAGCTGTTGCTGTTACTGCTGTTGGAGCGATGACGGCTCATCACTGGATGGAAATCATCAAACCATTCACACCGAGTCAGAGGAACTCGTTCCATCTTTTCCTCAAACAAATCAAATTTGTTCAGTATTAGAAGGAAGTCCATCTGATCAAAGGTTGGATGTGTAACAATGCTCTCAAAGAATTTCCTGCTCAGTAACATCTTGTTTACCAAATCCCCATTGTCATCACTAGCAAATTGGTCATAGTCACTCAAGGCAACACAGAAAACAACAAGTCTAACATCTTCAAACATCTCTAGCCACTTGCAGTTTTCTCCAAAGCCTCTGGCTTGTACCCTAACCAGTTGAAATCTGAGTAACAACAGAAAAGAGAAGATGATGTCAAGAACAATTCAATCATCACATTCAAAAACTGGCATACAACCACCATCGTCAGATTATCCAGAATTTCCAGAGTATAAACAGAACAATTCAGTGGTAAAGTTTGTATTGGAATACATGAGCAAGAGAAAGTATCTATTTCAACCAAATTAGGGTTCTGATTTCAATTTGATTATTGGTTTCAAATGAAATGGGTTTTTTGAGATTTACAAGGTACGTTCTTCTAAAAATGGACCTTCAAATACAATATGTAAAACAAATTCCTCAATACTATTTCCTGCAAAGTAAAAAATTTGGAATCCATGCCTCATAATTATAATCATATAACAAAAAAGGGAAAGTAAATGATAATCTCTTAGAGCTTCTTGTCTACCTAGAAGCCACAAAAATGCACCAAACGTTGTTGGTTATGCATTCATTTCCCTATTATCAGCTTGAGTAGTTTTTTGGGGAAAACAGATGGCCTCCCATGCACTATTTAAGCTGATGGGTCCCACTTTACATGGTAAAATGATAGGATCATCAAATGGGTTCAAGCTTAACATCCTGCCGGAAAGTCCAACATAATGAAATATTACAATCCTCATGAATTTAAACATTCTATTCATTGAACGAACTCAATCCATCCAGTTATGGTTGTACTTCCCATTTCAAGAACCGGAGAAGTATCAGTTTAAAAAAAAAGGATAAGTATATCTTCCATTAAAAAAATTCCCATGGCACTATATAGCCATGTTTATTTTATAAATTTCTCCAAAAGAATGTAATTTAAGTATTCTGACTTAAAGTTGAGACCCATCAATGAACCCTACAAGATCATCCTCAATAATATTATATGCTTTTTATGGAACAAGGTTCATTGTTATTTTCCCAAGCATTGAAAAGATTCACAAATTAGGTTCCATCCCCCAACAAAATATTATAATTGCCCTGCATTTCACTAGATGGAAAGAAAAGGTGAGGAGCCCACTAGGAAAACCACACCTTTCCAATGTAATATTTTGGTAATGTTGGATTAGGTAACTCATAGTCACTCTGCGAGTATACATGTTTCTCTTTTCTAAGCACCAAGAGTTGCACTGCATTACTTGATTAACATGATGGCACTACGCAAATCATCCCATATAGCAAGTGCACAAAAGCATATTCACTAGAAACACAAACATAAACAAGAGCCTACAAAATGGAAGCCGATTGGCAACAATGAAAGGAACTCTTTACAAACATTGCATTAAGCTTCAGTACCTACCTGAGCAGAGAATCCTGCGGATCAGCAGTGTCATTTTTATCATCAGGTGATGGCTCAGGGAATGAGAAGTCCACACAAGCAAGCCCGTTTGATAAGGTAACACCTTCAGCATATAGTATGTCCACATCTGAAGGTTCATAATCTGTTCTCAATATATCAAAGACCTGGAGACAAAATAACATAGAACATTAAACATAGACTGCAAAAAAAATAATAATAATAATTGTAATCCTTGCACATTTTCCAAGACAGCAATAGCACAAAATTGCAATATCATTAAGCAATCCATAGGGAAGCAGGTTGAAATTGTATGACAAATTAATGAAAGGGATGGTAAATCAAGGCCAGCCACAAAGTGACCTCACTAATAAACCTAACAAGATAACAACTACCTCAAACATGTCTAGCTCAGAAAAGGGTTAATTTCTCCATCCCATATTGAAACATCCTTTAATAAATCAGGGCTCCGTGCTGTTGTAACACGTACTGGGGCAAACAAAAGAATCTTTAGAGATTCTCATTACTCTCTACAGACCCAGAAAATACAATGTGCCGGCCTTTTGGAAAATTCCTTTAAGCCATCTGTTCTTCTCACCAAGAAAATCCACATGATCCAAACTAAGTGGACCACGCAAACACTAACTGATCAATGTAAATTTTTGTATTAACTTTTCCATCTTGCTTTTTTGCAATAAAAATCATGAAACCATGATCAATTACAACACAACATTGATTGAATAAATCACAACACTAGTGCCAATGAGGTAGACCATGTCCCATCCTACAAGTGAAAGGAGAAAAGTGATACAGAAAACAATGATTTGCTCATCTCAAACCATGCTCCTGCTATTTTAGATCTCAACAGAATTTCTAATTATTTTCAAAACAACCCCCTGTTATAGCAGTATTTGACAAATTGATAACCCCTGTTGCACATATAAAGAAGATAACTTTCCAAATGGAGCGGAGGTGAGTCCAGAGTACTACAAAGAACTATGGTTGAACACTCCAGTTTTCATTCCAATGGGCACATGCACAAAATGCACCATACTTCACCTGAGCTAAGCCAAAGGCAAACATCAGTTACACCCTAGTTGGAGCAAGCTTCACATTCAACCTACTTCAGCCAATCCAAAGACTAATAGGCTCTACTCATTAGACCTCTCAGTTATTGACTACAACTCCAACATAGAAAAGAAAGGACGTGCAGACATAACTAATAACACTCATTCAACAGAATCTGTTTTCTCCTCCAAAATTCACAGTTGGTAATGTTTTTATGTCATAAATTAGTAGAACAAACAAAAACTCAGCAGACGAAATTTATTCACCAACTCTTCAAACTACTGGCAAGAGACATGAGATCATAATCTGAAATATAACACCAGATGTATTTTTCAAAGATGGGCCCACATGAGAATATAAACCTTTCGGAATGGAACTCATCTACTCCATTTGAACTTACCAAAATTGGGTAAGAGCAATCTAGGGTTGTGAAACAAATTGTAAGAGATCATTGTGGCAAACAAAGATATTGCAACGATTACAAATGAGCAGAAGGTGACAGCCAGGAGCACAGAAGTTTCTACAAAGTTCAGGAATTATTAAGATGCTAAAACTAATGAACAAGAAGCTTCACATGTGGCCAAGAAAAGGTTTATGAATGGATAACCGCCTTCCAGGATCAAAATATCGTTTCGATGTATTGTTTCGGTCACTTAGAAAACGGAAACGTTTCGACATGTTTTAGAAACGTTTCGACTCGTTTCGAAAACATAATTAAAAAAATAAAAAATTTAAAAATTATTTTTTTAAAACATTGATGAAAATATATCAAAATATCTTGAAATATCTTGAAAAATTTTAAAACAATTGTGCAAATGTATTGAAATATTATAACACATTTAAAAATATTATGGAATACCTCGACATATCAGAATTTCGATTTCATCGCTGTTTCGTTTCGGTGTCCTTAGAAACGGAAATGTTTCAAATGTTTCGACCGTTTCGAAACGATATGTTGATCCTTGACCGGCTTAATTAGTTGCCCTTACTTTAAAAAAAGGTAGAAAACTAGAAAATAACTTCTATTTTGAGTCAAAATAGTGGTGGTGTTACTTTAACATCTTGATCCCCTCAAATCCTAGCTGTTTCCTACCCCTCATGCTCATAAGTTTATCAGCAAGTCAACAATGACACGATTCCCCGGACAAGATGTTACAAAGTCGTGGTTTGTTGGCAGTTTGATTGGCTTTCTCACTATCACTTTTAAGAAAAATTACAGATACATCTTAAGACGATCAGCTCCAAAATCAGTCATTAACCTTTTGTCTTTCCATTTTATTTCTCTTTCTTACTGTCCTAATGCACCAAACTTTTCCAGCCACGAGACACTCCATGTTAACATCAATGACATTAGTAACAAGGAATAGTTCAGATGCATTAATACAATAAGAAATGTTCATGTAACCAAACCCAGCACAGTAACACAAGGCATGAATTTACCCTCTCTAGGAAATAGCTAGCAACACTAGGGAGCATTTCCAATTCACTTCTACGCTTGTATGTGGCCTGAATGGCTACATTTTTCCACAATTCTTCAACTAATGGTGCATATTCCCGAGTAGCAGCTGGGAAAACAGCTTCCAAATTTCCTGCCACCATAGTTTTCAGAAGCCAGTCGGAGAATGCTTTCAGCCTTGGGCAAATAGAATATATAGTTTTTGAATCATCCCCGTCAGTGTTCCCTGCTTTTGATTTCAACCAGAAAATACTTTTCAGAGTAAAACAGCGCATTGCGTAAGAAATTATGTTTATATGATCATGTAGACTTAAGCCTTTGAACATGTTTGTAACAATATAGCTAGGCCAAAACAGTTACTGCCCATCAAGCAAATAAAGCATACTTCACAAAGCAAAACAATAGTTAAAGAGTAAATTCTAATACTAAAACCTATACTCCAGCTTTCAAGCCAACCACATTGCCAATGGTCTGTTAAATGCTAGTACTACGCTGTTTACATGACTTCTCCAATCATAATCTCCAGAAACACAAGTAATTACAAATTACAAGTAGTAGACAATCATAGAAGTATCTCATATAAAACAAAAAGAACGACACAAAATAACAAGTTCTGTTTTAAAATAAAAAATTGCCTCATCTGCAGCCCTCTCCACATATCCCCACAAAGGTATAGAATTCATTTAACACTTAACACTATGCTAATGAACAAAATCTTTGTAACTTTCATTACAAAAGACTAAAACATCAACAAATGAATGCATGTATTGAATTTTAAACTTTCAACCAAGAAATCCATAATCAATCAGGCTTGAGGCACGCAGAAAAACCTGAAGACACTTGTTTCTTAGCATTTGTGCATAATGTCACACTGAGACTTATGTTCAAGCTCCATTCAGAAGCAAACTTGGCCAAGTAGTCTTCATTCAAACAACATAATGGCTCACCAGAATGATAAATAAAAGAAAATAAGAGAATTCTCTTTATCCAAGGATAAATCAGATTTTAAGTAGATCATAGATTGATCAAATATTGTGAAATATGCCAGAAAAAGTGCATTTGACAGATTTGTTGCGCTTGATACTGATCAACTTTTATCTTTTTCTAATAAAATCATCTAAATCTGTTAACAAACTCTATCAGATTTATAGCATTCGATTAGCTTCAGAATAGCACATAACTCAGAATGATCAGGTAGGAGGAAAAAAAACCAATTATTCCAAATAACAGATCATAGTCAAGACCAACAATTAGATCGTACAGCTCGAAAGTACCCATCTAAAAATGTGGGCAGCAAGAAATGTATTTGAAGAATCTTTTTTAAAAGTGATATTCAATGCATGGTATCTGATCTAGATTTACATTGCCAGTGAATGACTACTTGATACATCATATGCAAGTTCTTCCCCAGAAATCAAGAAATACGAGCACCTAATGCATGAGCATAGATTTTGAAGTGAAAAATGAACAAATAGGAAAGAACAAAACAAATTTGTACCTATTTGACCATATTCATCAAGAGACTGAGCTTTCCTCAATTCATTCAAACTTTCATCTTCAAAACGCTCGCGGCCCTCAAGTAGTATACCAAGGTAGCCATACACATTGCTCTGGATTAATAATTTGATGCTTTCACGTTCATCCTCCGAGAAAGCTACATCTTTGTAAAGAATCTTGGCCTAGTACAAAATTTTACATAGATGAGTACAACAGTTTCTCAAGTATCACCAAAGCTCTAGAGGAAAAAGCCCAATGTTTTCTTGATTGGTAAAATGTCATTAAACCACTAAAACACGGATAAAACCAAAAGTACACGCAGATATACAGTAAAAGGCCACAATTTGAAAGTGTCAGACTATTTGAACCATAACTGATACTAGCATTGCTTCGTAAAACCTAAGGTCCCGTTCGGTAATGTTTATGTTTTTTGTTTTTCGTTTTTATCTTGATATTTGGAGAAAACCGGAAAAAAAAAAATTTGTTTGGTAACTGTTTTCGTTTTTTATTACTGTCAACGTTTTCAAAACCATGGACGATTTTTAAAAACGGAAAAAAGTCGTTTTTGAAAAAATTAAAAACGTTTAACGCGCATTGAACATTAATGAGGTTGAGGGATCGAACTTTGTTAGTATCCAAAAATCCCACTTATTGGCCCCCATATAAATAACAATTGATATCCCAAACCCTAGCCCCTGTTCATCGCCTGACTTCCCCTCCTCCTCCTCCTCCTCTCTCTCTCGCTCTCTCACCCCAGTCTCTTCATAGTCTTCGTCTTAGATGAGTTTTCGGTTCTCCACAAGGTAAATAGCTACTTTGCTCATCTATTCTGTGATCTGCGATCTGAGTTTCGAATTTTATTTTTTTTTAAAACACTGATTTGAAATGTGATCTACAATATGCGACTTTTTTTTTTTTTAAAAATACTGATCTGCGATCTGGGTTCCACTTTTGTGTTGTATTGTTGAAATTTTTGCTGCTGATTTTTTGCAATAAGGGTTTTGATTTTTTATTTTTAAACACTGATTTGGGTGATCTGCTCGGTTCTATGATTTTTTTTAAAAAAACACAGAGCCTGCTCATCTATTGCTTTTAATGCTATATTGTTGAAATTTTTGCTGCTGATTTTTTGCGATCTGGGTTCTGCTGGGTTCTGAATTTTTTTTTTTTAAACACTATATTGCATTCTAAGCTGGTGCAGTACTGGGTAAAGGAGTTGAGATGATGATGACTGCTTTCTGAAGGCAATCAGTGGTTTGTCTGAGACCATAGGCTTTTTTTTTGCACTTTGAAGACTGGATGTTGGACTGTGATGGATAGTTTTATGGCCTTAGTCCATTTGAAGGATTAAAGCCAACTTTTTGTAATTAGAATTCTTTGAATTCCTTTGCTTCTTGCAATCCATTGTTTGATGGAATAACATTCTCTCTTTTCTTAAAAAAAAAAAATGTATACAACCTAGTCACAAAAAAAAAAATATATATATATATATATAAGTGTTACAACCAAATGAGTTTTTTGTTTTTGTTTTCAAATTTTTTTACAACTATAAAAGCAACCAAACACGTTTTCTATTTTCATTTTTTGCTGACAAAAATTTAAAACTGATTCTGTTTTTTATTATTTAAAAAACCAAAATTGTAAACGTTTCCAAACAAACCCTAAGAAAATGGAAATGGATTTGAACAAATTTGCTACATGGGTATGCATATGCCTATCATTAAAATTATTAAAAAAGAGAGGGTAAAAAAAGAATAGGAAACCTTTTGCATCCAAGGAATACAAATGAGAAAGTGTGCATCCAGTAAGACGATATTAAATATATGCTACAAGTGTGTGTAACTCCAAGATTGAACCAACCATTAGACGTTTCCTGCTGTTTACTTGCACCAACAGATCACAATGGAACTAAAAATAAAACAATAGTAAATTTTATGTAAATACATAAACAAAGAATATGTAATTAAACAATCAACAAGAACGAGGAGTAGACTAGAAAACAAAAAGTTTTGAAGTCCAAAAAATTTATTAAGACTGGCTGTTTCACAAGATCATCTACTTTCATAGAGAAAAATCATGTCACTGAAAGAAAATAAAGGCAAGGCATTAGTTACCGAACATGCCATGTTTCACATAATGGTACAGAATATTGACTTAATTGTAGGTAGCCTGCAATTAACCATGAGGGTAACCTTTTGGTTTCTTTCTTTGCTGCTTTGTTTTATTTTGTTAAGCATGTTAACAGTCCTTAGTACAATGTTCTATGATTGCTGCAACTGTGGTTTTTTGGGGTTATGCTTCAAACACAAGGATAAAAGGAGTTTTCGACACCCACCAACCCCCCAAAAAAAAAAACACACACTACGCACACAATTCACCTTTATTTTCATCCCTGACCTTGATTCTCCTAACTGCCCCAACAAGTCCATTGCTGTGCTATAAATATATGTTTTAAGGATAATACACTAAACCAATTTTTAACCACCAAGCAATTGCTGAAGTGGTATCTTCTAAAACCACCCAACAGGAAGGTGGACGGAGTCGAATCCCAGTTAGGACAAAGAGGGCATGTGAGTTGTACTTATCCAGAAACAGGAATGGATGGTCTTCAATGCCAAATACTGCTATCAGCAAGATCACCACAGAATTGTGCAAAAAACCACACTACTCACACAAAAGCTAAAGGGCACAACAAACATAATATGTTCATCAGAGTATCATGTCCATGGAGTCACAAAAAAAAATGATTCAGCTACTTGTACAGTCAGGTAACTAAAACAAATGCAGTTTGAGGATGACAGTTTAATGATTCAATTCCCCCAATTACTAAATTACCTGCTTAAATATGGTACTCGTCCCTGATCCACTATATCCAATTAGAAGAAGTTTCTGAAGTGTTCTCTGCTCAAGGTAGTCTGGCACCATTCGGCTAAGCACATTATTCATTTGTTCTCCACAAGTATAAGACGATTTCGAAGGAACTGGAAGAGACAATAGAGCACAAACCAGCTTTGTTCCGGCCTAAAAATGAACATAACAAAACACCATGTTTAAGAGAGGAGAGAGCTAGGACAGAGAAGCAGACTAAGAAAGGTAGGGGACAAAAGATACAGAAGATCGTGAACATGTGATTTTTATCCAAACCTTTCCCCAGATATAGCCTTTTGTATTTTTCTGTCCCTCTTCTTGGTATGAACCATCCTCATTCACCCAAAAATGTGGGTTCCCAGCACATTGGACTCCAGCCAACTGCAATATTCAACACAATAATGTCACTGGCTGATGTAGATGGATCCATTTTAAAGTAAATAGCATGTTTTGAAATATCAACCTGTAACATCCGTAGTTCTACTTTAGTGATCTCACGACCATTAATATACACTTGTGTGTTCCCATTGCTAGCATCCGCCTTGATGGGACCCCCGACGTTCAAATGGGGGCTTATAATTTGTGAAGGCTTCTGTGCTTCCTGTTAAAATCAGCATTGCCATCAAGTTCCATAATGATGTAAAAATTAAGAAAAACAGTACCAGAACAAAATGTTTTCAGGAGACCATACTCACCTTTCCCCAAAGGCCAGATACTTTATCATACCAATAGTTTCCTGGTTTTAGCTTTTTTGGTGGATTTGGGCAGCTCTGCAATATAACCAGCTCCTCATTACACAGTGGCTTTCCATTTATGCAGACATACTCCGATGGCAATTGATTCACTTCACACAGTTTCTCAGTCTTCAGTATCTGTCGAACCTCCAAGTCATTAAGCAGTCGCTTGAGCATTCTAGAGCATTTTCCCAAATTCCCTCTCTTTGATTCGTCAATAGGGCATCCAATGCAAGTAACACACTTTCGCCCCTCTGGCATAGACCCCATTGCTCTGAGCACACAATTACTACAATATTTTGCATCACAAACAATGCAAATCTCCTTTTCGGTTAACCTATTGCCTCTGAAGCACCGATAACATGCTCCTTTCCTCACCTTGACCTGAGGTTTTCTACTCTCTCGTACAATCTCAGGTTCAGGGCGACTAAATTCTTGACTAATATCCTCGTCCTCTGACTCAGCGTCACGAAATGTAACAACAGGATTTCTCCTTACATCAGAAGCAGGTTCATTATTGCCATCCCCTATCCTTAGAGAAGATACCCTAGAAGACGGATAATCCAAACTCAACACCGACTCGGTTGAGGCCCAATCCGGTGGGTTCAAATCACTACCGTCTAAGCTCTCCTTACAACCATTCGAAACCCTCAATGCACTTGAACTTCCAGATAACTCCTTAGATCTCTCGAAGCGATCCAAAAATCCCAATGTCCCCGAGCTTTCCACCCCACCTACCAACTCATAGGAATGATCATGACTGATGGAGGAACATCCCAACCCAGTCGAATTAATCACTTCAGAAAATTCACCAGATCCATATTGGCCTTCTGGGAACTCCTCTAAAGTACCTGAATTGCTCAACTCACCCGATAACACACAGTTGGCATTGCTTCCACATCTCTCCTCCAATGCAATCACAGAACTTGGAGAAACAGTGGTTTCAAACCCTAGACCGAGTTCTTTTGACACGGAATCATAACCATCCCCATCTCGCGATTCAAATTGAATAACGGATGTAGGTGAAACAGTTGATTCAGAGCCTAACGTTAACTCTTTCGAGAACTTTTTTGTAATATCAGAAGCTATTACCGGTTGGACAATCGGCAACGACAACTTCTCCGATAAAGATACTTGGGAAACCACAGCTGCCACCGGAATCCTCTCGACATTGATGGGAACGGCTTTCGGAAGGTCATGTGTTATGGGTGGGCCATGGTACTCCAGAGCAAAAGAGTACTCGACTCCATCGTCGGCCATTATCGCCATTTCAGGCGACATCTTCTTAGGAAAAATCAGAAAAACTTCCCAAGTTTTCAAGTTTCTTATCCTAAATATGTAAAAAAATCCAACCCTAGTGGCAAAAAGTAGAACATGTGCATAAAAACTTCAGCTTTACACGTTAATCACTGAAATCAAGCTAAGACCAAAAAAAAAAAAAAGAAAGGACAAAGAGGCGTTTTGAAGAAGACGATTAACCCTAACCCTAATTTGAGGTGAGTGTGCATACCGAGTGAAGTGAGAAGACAGAAATAAATGGGAAAGTGAGAGCAAAAGAAAAGGATGGAATTGAATTCTGTTACCGAGTGAAGAAGCAATCTGAAAGATAAGACAAAGAGTGAGAGAGGGGAGTGCGTGGGTGTGAGGTGTTTGGGGCGGGCGGAGGAAAATGTCTTGGGAAAGTGGCGGGGGAGTGGGAAAAAGACGCCAAAGAGGAAACCTGTAGTGGTGGGCACCGTTTCGGATTAGCATCTTTGTTTTCCAACTTTTTTCTATTTTTCATTTTGTTGGAAGCTAGTGGCTGTCTGGTTCGTGCGTGTCACTCTGTGTTTGTGTGAGAGAGAGAGAGCACGTGGTCTCGAGCGTTAGGCTCTTTGTCTGTCATTTACCTCGTGAGTGGCATCGAAGCTCTTGTTTTATTTGACCGTGGTCCTGTGTTTTCAGTTTCGAATCTGCTTATAGAACCCATATATAATAGCATCTCCAACTCACTATGTATTATTTAATTTTTAGTTATTTTGGAAAGTTTTACTCCAAAAATTAGCTTTAATCCAGTTAACTATCTTTTTTGCCAAAACCTCAGAGACTTTTGTGCTCGCCAGTTCTAGAGAGGTCATCTTACTTGTCATTTTTGTTGCTAATCAACTTCATCTGTTTTGTTGTTGTTACTGTCGAAACCCAACTCCCCCTCCCCTCTGTGTTGTTGTCAAAACCTAGTTCCTTATCTCCTCTATTTTGTTGTCGTTGTTGTCAAAACCTAGCCCCCATCCCCTCTATTTTGTTGCCGAAACCCAACTCTCTCTTCTCTCAGTTTGTTGCCTTGTTGTCGAAACCCAACTCCCCTGGCCTATGTTTTGCTATCGAAACCCACCCCATCAGTATTTATTTTTGTTATTGACTGGTATTGATTTTTGGTTAAGTAGGTATTAATTTTTTGTTAAATAAATGGTTAAATTACTATTAATTTTTGATTAAATAGGTGATTAAATTGCTTTTAATTTATGGTTAAATTTATTCAATGTATGATTGAATTGCTATGATCAATTGATTTTTGTTATTTGAAGTGAAAAAGTGTTAAATAGTTAGCTAAAATAGAGAACATGGTTGGAATAAATTTGAAAAAGTGACTAATTAAAATAGAGAATACAATATTTAAATATATTTTAACTAATTATTTTGCTGAGCTGGGTTAGAGTTGCTCTCAAAGACAGTCCTACTTGCCTAAATGGGTTAATTGTAAAGTGCATTTCAAAAAATATTTCGAATCTTAAATTACAATCTTTAAGATAGAAATTTGTATTAATGCACACCTCATTTAATAACCTTCAATTTGTCGTCTAACACTAAATAGATAAATTACACCTAAATTCTCTCGTGTGTGTCACTTAATCATTTGACTCCCTTCACATTTAAAATATTACTATTACACGTCATGATATTTGTACGCGTATAATACATAACCATTCAATGACATATATTCATATAATCGTTAAAAAAATATGATTTTATTCTAATAAAAAATTATAATTTCATAGTAGTCTTTTATTTTGTGGGGCCGTTATATATTAAAGTTCAAAATCTAGTTTACCATTTAAATGTCCAATATAATACAGTTAATTATATGATGTTCTTTATATTCAATATAATACATCACTTAATCAGAATTATTTGAATGCACAATTAGAGGAATATTTTTAGTAATGTATAAATTTTAAAAGCATGTAGGTGTATTATGTCAAATGTAAGGGATCTAGGTGATAAAGTGACAAGCATGTGGGGGTCATGATATAATTTATCTGTTTAAATTTAAACGACAAATTAACGACTATTAGCTTGAAATGAGCATTGATACAAATTTTAATATTTAAATGTGTAAATTGAGATTTTTTATTTTTGAGGGTGCAAATTAAAATTCAAACGATATTTCAAAGTGCAATTTGAGATTAACTCTACATAAATTATAAGAATGGTCCAAATCATTTAGATTTATATTATGATTTAAATTTAATCTAAAATAAATTTTATTTTATTCCCTTGTGGTATGCCTCTAATACACATTATCTCCCTCACATTTAAAAATATCCACAGAACTCTTACTTACTTTGTGGACTAAATTGCATTGGTAACACTGTTAACTGAAAATATAAATTGACCTTACTATCCTCTCTCCTTCTTCTTCCTGGCAATTCTACCCCTCCTCTGACATATATAATCTCCAAGTCCTTGTGTAAAAACCATCACCAACACCTTGAGCAAAGGCACATCACAACATAAACCCAAAACATCTTCACTAGAAATCAAGATGAATCCTAAAATCCAACCTATAATATGGTAAAAAAAGTCAGTAAACCTTTCCAGCAAAAATTTTCAACATATATTTTTAGGATTTCAATAGAAAAGTTTTCAAAAATTCAGTACAAAAGTTTCATGAAAATCAACATTAGAGAAAATTCACATCAAATCCATTTTGAAATTCCAGCAGATCCACTAAAGATTTTCATAGCAAAAAATTAGTGTAGAAATAGGAGAGATAAAGATCCGGTACAAGAACAAGGGAAGAAGTTTGAAAATAGAATTTGTTTTATGATTGATGAAAATAAGAAGCTTGTGTTAGTGGGTTTTCTGGTTTAGGTTTGATTGTAGTGATTGTCGAGAAGAAAATGGAAAATCATAATATGAAGAGGTGGTTGTCGATGGTGGATTCATCAAAGAAAGTAAAGGGGGAGAAGAGAGAACAGGTTGGGCTTGTGGTGAGCTAGGTCTAGAGAGAGGGGGGAGAGGGTGCAGGTATGTGCATTTGGTGTATACCATAAGGAAATAAAGTAAAATTTACCATTTAATTTTTTAAGCATAATAATTTGACTCATATATTAAAAAAAACATACTTTTGTAGAGGACATCCTAGTACTTCCATATGTTTCCAAATTTGGATAAATTGAATAAGAAGATTTGAGGATTAATCCGCTTAAATTGCACTCTTATGAAAAATCCGATATCTTGCATTAGTAGTCACATAGTGAGAGCTTCGGATAGAGCACTAATATGTGAAATATCTAGAATTTGGTTTTTTTCGAGGTTAATTTAATTGTTTCGCGAATCTCCCAAGAACGACTATTTAAGAAAATCATATATATACACTTTTAGTGCTATAAAGTATGGACATTCTAAAAAAAATGATGTATCTGTGTCCGACATGTGTCAAACACAACATTTTCAAATATGTACCTGCTATTCATTTATCTATGTCAGACACTTCTTTAGACCGTGTCTGCTACTAAACAATACAAATGATTAATAAAGCTTAAAAATTTAACTATTAAGTATCATATATTATGAGAAAATATATAATTACTAAGACTATACATATTAAAATTGTATTCAAAATATAATAACAAAAGCAAAGATACATAAAAGATTTAAAAAATAACAATTGAGAAAATGAGGACATATCCCCAACATATCCATGTTCTATTTTTTTTAAAAATATCGTGTCTATGTGTTCGTATCGTATTTGTATCCCGTGTCCTGTGTCCGTTATTCTTAGATTTGGTGGGGTGGGAGGGTGAACTCTTTCAAATGTTTGATTAATTTTATGTCTACTTAAGGAATTTTCAGACCTGAGGTTTCTTTCCCCTAAATCCATTTATTGGCACAGATGGCTTTACAATTTCAGATTATCACGGCTATGTGCACATTCATGATTAAGTGCATGAATGTTAATGATTGTCCTAAACAAGTCAGAGTTGGGCATTTTAGGTTGCAAAAACTGATATTATCGTCGGGCTTTCATGGTACTGTTTGAGGGGATAATGTTGGACTCAATAGATCAAACATTTTGTTTCGTGAAAGATTTAGAAATTATAAGATTTTGTCCCATGAAAATGAGATCGGAAATCTAATATTATACTCGCTGAATTTCTTTCAACAATAGGAATGCGCCCAAAAATGAATATTGTTTGTTTTTTCATGAATGAAACATGTTACGTTAATAGAATGAAAAATGAATGGGGTGTTGTTTTTGTTTTGGGCACATAGCTAACATTTAAAGAAATTTAGGGTGCAATGAGAAATATTTAATCTTTAAGGGGACCCTGTAAAAAAAAAGTTATTCTTTCAAAGGTAAAAACAACCTTCCAGTCACATCTGAAAGAACTAAATCCACAATAATGGCCAACTATAGTCACAGGTTTGATTGTTAGGCTAAAGACCGAAGAGTACAGCTTCAGCCAACGGACCACCTGCTTTCAGGCGTTTAGGCCTCAGCCAGTTTGGTAGATTCAAAGACTTTTTTGGCCATAGGTTTCCACAATTGGCACTTACAAGTCACAACACCATGTCCCACATTAGCCAACCTAAAAAAAATATATATATATCTTTGCATTGAACTCATATAAGAAGGTATCGGATTATTGTCTCGAGCTTTTAAGTTTAAAATCTTGTGAGAAGCATCTTGCTTCATGCAACTCACTATGAACATTCTGCATTGATGATCTTGCTTCTAGTCCAAAGTGTACGTGTTTGGGGCATATTCCTCTTAGAGAAGCCTCACAGAATTTTGATTTCATTGTGCCGCAACTTTAAATTTGTAGGTGTTTATGAATATCCAAGTTTCCTTTTTTGTTTCGATTTCATTGTATCGCGACTTCAATTTTGCACTATTGAAGATGACAGAACAATAATTCATAGGTTTCTTTCAGGTACCAGATCAATCTATAAGGTACCCTCTTAACAACTAACATGATATGTGCAGTTCCCAGCTAGATTTCGAAGGAGTGGCTACTGTGCTTCTCTCTAAATCATGGGCTAATGAAGTGTCCAAGCATACACCTAACAGCTATGGCTGCTTTAAAACCAAAAAGAAGACAGCCCAACTAGTTTGGTCACCAACCCCAAATAGTTAAGTAAAAACAAGCACGAGTTATAAATTCAAACGTTCTGAATTTAAATTTTGACAATTTTTTGAAGTCAAGCTGTGAGAGATTTATCATTTATGAATACTTTAGTCCCGACATGAATGATCTGTCTTGTACCGGACTGGAAAGAAGATTAGTCGAAGTGCGCATAAACTAACTCGAATCCCCCAGATAATTCAGCCGAAAAAAAAAAAAAAAACTAGTTTGGTTACTAGCAAAAGGATGGTTTTACTTTCTCACATAATGATATTTCCGGTGCAAATATGGTATCAAAAATCTTCTGATTCATACTTTTGTTTATTTAATTAACATGTGGTATGGGTAAAATTCCGTTAGTTTTTATTTTATTTTATTATTTAATGCTTATAAATAAATCATTCGAAGATTTATGACTACAAATCATTTTTCAATATACGATGCCGTTATCCTTATGTTTTCTGCAAGATTTTCCATTGTTTTTTATTCCTAATCTCAATTTTCTAATCAACCAACAAACAGAACCTAATCATCCATCCACTATGCTTATGTCTATGTCTTCCCCCTTTGACTACTCTGCTATTTTGCTGAGCTCACGGGATTATCCACTCTCCGAATCAATGGTCAAATACACACCAAGATTCTGGTGTATTTATTCAACTCGAGAAGACTTTTGGTGATACAAAAACTTGCCACTTGTATAGTTGTTTGAGATACCTTTGTCGATTTTTTGGCTAAGATCAAGTGTATTTCTGTTTCAGAAAGGGACTTACACCATTTCTCAAGGACACAACAAAATCTAGCATCTACCCAATCATACATTAGAACTCTCGTGATAATGTTATTGTATCGAAAAAAAAATTGTATTATGTTAGAAAATTTTTTTTAATGGTTGATCTTTATTTGAGTTATTTGAAATAATTGATCGTTGACATTAGAGCTGATAATTTTAATCTATTACTCATTAATCTCATCTAACTCTTTCATAAATAAATGAGTTGAGTACATATATTAATTAAGACGGATTCTAAACCGATTAAATGATAAAATTCATTTTAATTAAGCGAGTTAAGATAGATTACAAATGAGTACTTATTGAGTTGAATATTTATTTTTTATTAAATAACACAAGTAATAAAATTAAATAAATATATTAATATACTAAAAAATATATACACACACTAATACACCAAAAAAATATACACTAATACACAAAAAAACACACACATACTATTACACCCGATTCGACCCATGACCCAACTCATGACACAAGTAATAAAATAAATGTGTTTGTTTTTTTTGTGTGTTAGTATATGTGTGTATATTTTTGCTATATTAACGTGTATTTTTGTGTATTAATATGTGTTCATATTAAAAGTTTTAATTATTTTACGGGTTAAACTCTTTAACCCAATTTATTATGATCTAACCTATTATAACCTGTTTATTAAGCAGATTGAAAATGGATTGGATTTGTTTTACACCTAACGAACAAACTCATAAGTTATAGCCAATCTAATTCGCCCATTTGTCATCTCTAATTAATACAGTAAAGCAAAGTGAAAAATAAAATAATGAAATTTTTTTATTTATCATTCCGTCATTGATCGAAAAAAAATACGTATAGTATTAATAAAAACTCGGCTATAGAAGTCTAAACCATAACTCTGAATTATAAAGAAGCTTCTTAATTTGTAAGAACCTCATTGTTTTTGGAGGGCAGCTTCCAGACCCTTTTGCATTGTCATTTTCTTGTTTGGACGATAGGAAAATGATCATATCCTAGAAAGTTTAACCTCTACACTGGAAACTTTCAACTATCTTAAACCAAATGAATAACTTTTTAGGGGAAGCTTCCGACTTTTCTAAAATTTTTGTGGGTGTATTACACATTACCCAGTAGATTTTAAGGGCATGTTTGGTTTGGGTACAAATAAATAATAAAATTAGATAATTGGTTTTCATCAACTTTGTAGATATGGTATTAATAAGAATACAATTTGATCATATTATTTGTATAACAAGTTTGGATCAATATTGGGACAAACTATAAATCTATAATTATAATATTAAGTTTGTGGTTAGATTAGATAATAGTATATGGTATTAAATTGAAAATAATAAAACAAATATTGAGAGCAAGAGTTTATATAATATGTAACTTTTATATGAAAGTATGGATATAAGTTTGCCAGGATAATAAATTCATTGTGTTTTTAATACTAAACTTGTTAAAAATAACCACCTACCACATGATATTCATTAATACCTAATATTATGTGTTAAATGACAATAATAAAACAGGTCAGGATTAATAAAAAGTTAATACCAAATCGTTATAACTTAATCTAAACTTACTATTACATCATCACCAGATTAAATTAATTAATCCAATCGTATCTCTTAATACCTAAACGAAACATGGCTTAAGTGTTGTCCACACTCAATAAAAATTTGTTACAACACTCGTTCGTCAGGTACACGACTTAGTTGTTTTTAATTTTTTTTTTGTCAAATTAATAAATAACAATAATCCACTAAGAATGTGCAATAATCAACAAAAAAATTATTATATAGACTTAATTTTAGGACTTAATAAAATACAATTGTTGAATTAAAAATAAACTTCATCTAACATTTAACTTACAATTAATACAATAAACTTCATTAAATTAAATCTCTAGATTAAGTTCACATAGGATAGCTCATAATTTTTTGAGTATGTACACCACATGGTGTGTAGTGAAATACTTACTTTGGTATGGTACTAAAAACTACAACCTAGTAGAGATTAGTTACAATTCAGTACAAATAAAGTTACGGGTTAAAAAAATAGAGATCGATCCTAAAAATTTCTCATGCCCATCCTCTAATATTTGAGGATTGATCCAAAATTATCTCATTTTATTGCAACATCAATCAAAATGAATTATAATTTCCATCCATTAAATAGTAATTTCACCCTATATTTCTCTACCTTTCACAACAAAACATGAGAAAAACAATCATAGGATAGTAATTAATATTTACAACCTATTGACATTTGAACCCAAAATTCACCAATGAAATGCAAATTTAACCTCCTCTCTCAACTCTAATACTTTTTCCTTTGGCTCGTTTTACTACCTTGAGAAGACAAGCTATGAACGGACGGGAATGTCTGCGGCGTGTTGAAACTTTCTGCATGGTTCTCCTGCATTTGCATTGTGGTCAATTTCGATGACACCGTCCAAATCTTCACCGACTTGTCCAAGCTTCCACTGTAAATAACCCACCGGCGATCATCGGGGATCGACTCTTGATCTTCTTCCACGGCCAAGCACTTCACCGGCCCGGTATGACCACCAAGTACAGACAAACACGTATGATCACTCTCTTCTTTCTTCCACACGCATATATTCGTATCAGCCGACCCACTAAACACCAAATTCCCAGCTGCAGCTAAGCACAAAACCGCAAGTTTATGGCCTCTCAGAACTCCGCCATGAGAGAGAAGCTTCTCTCGTTCCCAGAAGTTCACAAGCCCGTCCGATGAGCCGCAGTACAGTACCGTCGCCGACGTGTTAACCGCTAAAGCCGTGACTGCACATTCTTGCTTCAATAATGTCTGTGAAAAGAAGTGTTTTGTTCCTTTACCTTGTAACTCTCTCCGCCATACTTTAACGGTTCCATCGGCTGAGCCGGTGAAGACTAACCCATCAAAGCCTGCAACGACTGAATTTACAGCATCGTCATGGACATTAATGGATTCCAAGCATTTTGAGTTTGATACCCTCCAAACCTTAATGGTCTTGTCCCAAGAAGCTGAGTACAAAAGGGTTTGGTCCTCGTTCAAGCTAAGACAAGAAATGGCGTCGAAGTGTTTGATCCAGACAGCATTCTGGTTCCTTCTCACTTCAACATAATTGCTCGGATTGAATGAACTTTTTATATAAGCTTTCAATGTTGGTAAAGTTCCAATTCGCTTGTGAACGCTTGGATTCCTCGCAGAGACCTTCCATACACGGATTTTACCATCTTGATGACCGGTGAAAATTTTTTCGCCGGCGATAACAATCGCTTTAACCAGACCACTGTTCGATTTGAACCCTGAAAATTCTTTCTGGTTCTTCCAGACCCTGATGTTTTTGCTATCCGATCCGGTGTATAACAAGTCCCCGGAGGCTGCTAATGAATATATATGGCCTTCTTCACGGACAAGTGAGCCCATAAGACCGGTGTAAGAATAGTTCTCATTGGGCGGTGCAACGTGACAGGACCATGGAGACTTTGCTAATGGCGATAGTTGGTCCCAAGAGGGCTGTTGAATCGGAGACGACGCCGTCTGATCCCATGAAGGTGCTGAAAAAGGAGACGATTGGTCCCATGGAGGCTCGTTATTGTAAGGAGAATTATTGTCTGTGTTCATGGTCGGAGCTTGATCGTGATTAGAAGAGTTGGCTTCAGAGGTGTTACTGATACGAAACGATAATTCTTCTTCATCTGGGTCGGTCCGCAAAACGTTGCCGAACTTTTTTCGGCGGATATTGGATGATTCTCCGACCATTTTGCCTTTTTTTGAGCTTCTCATTCGGTCTTCTCAATGAATTATCAGACAGATAAACAATATATGGTTGTAAAGGAACAATTAATTTAAATTTCAAACTAATATTTTGTTGAAAAAATGAAGAATAAAGAGAAAAATTGTGTCCTAAGAAAACCGAAAGAGAGGTTCAAAAGAGAAAGGCCAAAAAGGAAGGAGAGGAGGAGAAGAGAGTGCAAAAAAGAATCGAAAATTCGGAGAAGATGATGAAAAATGTCTATTTTTATGTATAAATAAATATAAAGAGGGGATTTAGAAGAAAAATGTATAAATTCGGAACAGGGAGGTGTGGTGATGAAGCACTTTGATGGGTGAGAATTCGCAGGGCTGCGACGTAATGGTTACGAATTTGAGACGTACGATTTGTCAAAAGGGGGCTGTGAGTTAGTAACGAACAAAGATGGTAGTTATTTTTTGCGGGAAATGTGGCCAACTGGACAATCATATCTAGCCATGTATAAATGGAATTGCTAGTAGCCAAGTAACCACATCATCATCGCCGCTGAATATTGGGTCTAAGTAGGCATGTCAATTATATTAGGTGATGTTGGATTGTGTCAGCTAAGTCTGTTAATAGATCGGATATCTATAAGATTGTCTTATATTTGAATTTAAATTTAAATTCGATTAAATTTTTGTTAATTCAATTCAATTTGATTATTTGGCAAATTTAAAAATTCAATTTATGTTCAAATTTGTTAATTTTTGGATATTTGATCTGATCCAATTATCACAAAAAACATATGCACACCAAAAATTAACAATAAAAATTTGAATAATTAACTAAAAAAAAAGGAAAATTTGAAATAAAGGGAAAACTAAACAAGAGAGGGAAACAAAAAAAAAGTAAGTCATATATTGTGATATTCACTCCATTTTTTCTTGTTTTTTAACATAAGTATAATATATGTGTAATATTTATTTATATAATGTATTTTTTTATTCGGATTGAATTAATAGTGGATCGGATTATTATAAGCCTATATCCGAATCCGTTTAGACAGCTCTAATTAGATTCAGATTAGATTAACGGATTGAAAATCTGATCCGTATTCGTTTAAACGGATCCGAATTCAGGTTAAAATTCGATCCATTGACAAGCCTAGGATCGGGTTTTAGTAGGTTTGTGTCAAAAAATATTTTACTCATACGTAATTCGTTTATTAATATATGTCTAACAAATCGTGTCATATCGGACTCGTGTCGTGTATAAACTGTGTATAACTGGTATATAAACGAGTTGTGTCATGTATTTTTTTTATTAATTTCATTCATATCCGATTCGTTTATTAATCGTGTCATGTCAGTTCCACTCGTTTACGAAATGAGTAATTTAAATAAAGCTCAAACCATCTAATTTCGTATCATATTCGTGTTATGTTAACAAGTCGTGTAATGTAAGTGTAACGATGACATCATATTATTATTTTTACAAGGTATCAACATCCAATAATAAACCTACAAGTAAATAAGGTAAACCTCATTTTTTTACCTAGGATAGTTTTTTTTTTGTTATTTAAAAAAGGGTGGGGGGCAAAATAAAGCGTCCAAAGATTACCCTGATAGGTTCTCACACGTTGGATCATGAGGTCTCTAGTAGTCAACTACCGAGCCTCAATGTGACCTCTAAGACTTGAACCTTCAACCTCAAATAAAAAATTTGACTGGTACTCCACTGAACCACATCACTTGATAGAATAGTTTTTTTGTTATATGGATATGATAATTCCTAAAGTAATTAGAGATTCATTTGCTTGCTTGCTTGTTTGTCAGATTATTATTAGATGATGATATCACATGATAATGATAATATTATATCACTTTTATATTCAATATTTTCTCAATTTCACCATTATATTTTTAGGTCAAGAATTCGAATTCGAACTTATTATATATATATTTCAAAAATATTTATTCAGATATATTAAAGTATAATCTTCTTGTGATTTGATCTTACTTATATAAAAATAACAAAAAAGTTCAATGGTTATATGAAATTCAGATATAATTTATTAAAATTCAGTTTTAACTAAATTATTTGCATCGAGACAAATATAGTGACCTATTTTATTATTTTCACCTGATTTGAATATATATTATCAAAAATACAATTGATTGATTTGAATATTCAAATTAAATTAAAATTCGAATCAAATAAAATCTCTATCTGTTTATATGCCATTTTTTTCACAATCCCGCTGTTATGATGCCTACTTTCTTTTTTTTTTTAATTACCGAAGTGTAATTCTTTGAACGTTTTACACAATCCCTCATTAAATATTTACTACATAATTATCAGGATAAATCTTATTGGGGAAAAAATGGATGAAATGATTATACGTAAGAGTGTCAAAGTATGACATAATCTGTTAACAAGATGCAAAATTAGAGGGTTTGAATATTCTTTAAGCTATCTGTTAGCAAACGAATAGACTCGAAATGACATGATTAAAAAACTAATCAATATGGGTAAAACTAATTAGAAAAAATACACGACACAACTCTTTTATATACCACTTATACACGTTTTATATACGACACGAATCTGATATGACACGATTTATTAGATATGAATTAATAATGATTCAGATACGAGTGAAATAATTTTTAACATAAACCTATTAAAACTCGACAAATCTATTTTACCAGACACGATTGACATAATCATACCCGTTTACGTTGGATATCTTTATATATTTCTTCTTCCCAAAGCGGAATAGGTGGAAAATAAGCGATTTTGAACCATACGTCTGACTTTTTTCTCGTACACGTTGCATGCTGACCTTTTACATTTTTTACCAAGTCAAATACACATAGCTAATGTAGTTGTACAAATCTGCAGGGCCCCACGTAAATGGTTGGTTTGTGTTCCTTCCTCTTTCGCTAAGTCAAATACACAGTCTTTCTTTGCTCTTTTACCTTATCACGTAACTTCGAGGCCAACCCCATCATAGAACTTCAGGATTTTAATTTGGAATTTCATCGTCTTTTCTTTTATAATAATATCGGACTCAAAAAAATAAATTGTATTTGCACATCACTAAGTTCACGCATAGATGCTAATGATACATATTTAGAGTAAAAAAGAAAAAAATTTATTCTATAAATACACAGCATTCACGTCCGTCACTCTCAAATATAACTACTATGTGATTGGTGGGTGATTATAATATTTAGATTTTATTCTATACAAGGATGAGTCTAATGTGACCGTAGACAAAAAAAAATCCTCTTCATTCAAAAAATCTCATTAAATAATAAGTTGTAGAAAGATCATAACCAACGATCGTGATATTCAGAAGTCTTAACCCAAATGGATCGACCTTCAAGTAATGCCAACTCCATGTTGGACTATAAGTGGGTCTTGATTTGTTTCTTTGGGGATTTTTTTTGAAATATAAAAAAAGAATGTGGAAATGGAAATCATTGACCTTTTGAATTAAAAAAGGTATCTTGCCTACCTAGGATTTTTCTCTCTTTTTTTTTTTTTGGTCAGGAGCCTACCTAGTATTACTTACTTCGAGTACGAGCAACCTTTAGGAGGTAAATCTTCTAGATAGTCAAATGAATGACAAGGGTCAAATCTTTTTATTCCATTAAGAATGCTTCTTTTTTACCTTTCAAATGAGCAAGTTTTTGGCTTAATCATTTATAATAAACAAATCAATACTAGTATAGGACATTCATGAAATATTAGTGGAAAATAATAGATTTTATTGAAAAATTTAATCTTTCTATTTTACATAGCGGAGTTGAATACTTACCTCATGCCATTGATATTCAAGTTCGAGAACGAAAAATCCAAATTCTCTATAGAGAGAATAATCAACGAATTCAACGACTCCAACAAGCACTTAACGCTCAAGAAGAACACCCAAGATCAACCTCACAAATATATACTGTATGAAAGTATATAAGAGAAGAGTTTCCTGTCTAAATATATAAGATATGAATTCACATATGATTTGATGGATAATCACAGGCATGAAATTATATATATATATGTAAGGACCCTTTTCCAATAAGAAAATTGTAAGTAACGTCCTTCCATCAAGGAGTTAAAACTGCTTTAAACTGCTTCATAATGGTCACTCTATCTTATAATAAGAGTAGTGGGTAGTTACTTTAACGTCAGTTATCCAAAAGTATTTGACTCAATAAATAGGATATATACAAAATATACATAATATTTATTTATAAAAAATTGACATGGCATGTGGGCCATCTTAAATCTCTAATTAGAGATAGAGTTCAATATTAATTAGACATAAAGTCCAATAGAAATGATTCTTCATAAAATTGGGGTCAGTCCTATATAGAAAACTTTAAGGCTTTAAATAAATTTTACATTAAGTTTCACTCATTTCCTTCTAGTAAGTAGTTAAGACTATTCTTTTTTCTTTTTCTTTTTTTACCAAAACACCTTACTTGCTCTATTTTACGTTGGATGCACTTTCCACACTAAATGAAGATCTGCTTATTCAATCTCTTCCAATAACAAATTTTCATAAAATTTGAATTTCAAATTCAGGTGTAGATACTATTGATCTCCTCCTTATGCTATTATTTGGTGTTGTTCTTTGTTCGCAATTCAAAGAAGCGGTCAAAAAGTGAATGTTTAGTTGTGTTTGATTTCGAGATTTCTCTACTCTTTAGAGTTAAATTTTATTCTTACTTATTCATCAACGTATACTAATTGTAAGTGAAGTATCCATTTAACATCGTTTTTTCATATTGACGATTTTGTGTTTTTCGTGTTTTAATCTTCAATTTTATGTTTGGATATTAAACATGTTGTTCCGAATTTGTTTTTTCTACATGTATATTGATTTTGTTGTTCTAGTTCATTTTGTGTGTGTGTTTTGGATGTGTGGGTGTTTTATGCATAATGCCTTAAACATTCATTTCATGTAATTAGTCTACGTTACTATTTCATGTTACTGTTTTTTACTATATGAAACTAA